AGTTCACCCAAAAATTTTAATTCTGTCATTATTTACTCACCCTCATGTCGTTCCAAACCCGTAAGACCTCCATTCATCTTTGGAACTCAAATTAAGATGAATCTTATGATCTTCAGATTTTATGAAATCGGATAAGCTTTCTGACCCTCCACAGACAGCAACGGAACTACCACGTTCAAGGCCCAGAAAAGTACTAAGGACATTGTTAAAATAGTCCACGTGACATCACTTGATCAACCTTAATTTTATGAAGCTACGAGAAGTTTATAGTCACAGATTATAGTAGTAATCTGTAGCTTTTTGTGCACAAAGAAAACAAAAATGATGACTTTATTCAACAATTTCTTCTATTTCATGTCAGTCTTCAAGACGCATTCACTGACGCAGGAGCCGGCGGTCTGAAGTAGAACCCGGATGCGCTGCACCTTGTTTACAAGCAGAAGAATGCACAGGCATGCATTGTGGTACTCCTGCGAACACACGTTGAAGACTGACACGAAAGAGAAGAAATAGTTGAATAAAGTTATTTTTGTTTTCTTTGCATAGAAAAAGTACTTAAAATGTAAAATACTGAATAATGTAGAAACGAATGTTTCTTAAATCATCAGTGCCACTTTATAATAATGTTCATTAACAGTAACATATGTAGCAAATTAGCTCAAAAGGGAAATGTATATAAATAATTACGTGTAATTTCATATCAACTCGGATATTTTCGTGGCTACAGAAAATAACTTTCTTACAGTACCAATGCTTTAGAGCATGTAGTTATAGAACGGATAGTAAAAGGGACACTTATCACAAGTGGTGACAGAACCAGAAGCTCATGTAATTTGTGCACAAAAGTTTTATTAACTAAACACTAACACATAACTAATCTAGACAAACAAACAAACATACAAATCACTCCTTCATGGGGAGGTTGGATGACTGAAACCGTTAAAGAAACCAGAGAATGCAGTTATGGAAAATGAGTCAGTTAACCACCTGAGTGAAACCATCAGTGCCATTTTATAACGGGGTCTGCAGCTTATACTAAACTGTTTCGTTTAGTTAAATGAACGATACTTGCATTGCCTTGGCCTTGAACGAGCGTCCGGATGCAGTCTCGGATGAAAGTCTTGATGGTTTGGAGGTTCGGTGGTGTAGAAGTCACGATCACATTCTTCTGGGTTTGAAAAGTGATGAACTTCAAAAAGATGTTATTCTGACTCTGTGGTGGTCGGGAGAGTTTTCTCCCAGATGGAAAGTGAAGGCATGGCTGTAGTTAAGGCCTGTCAGGCACGGCTGCGCCGGCCCCGGGAGGGTGATGAGAGCAGAGACAAGAGACAAAAGCCAAAAACCTAAAAAGCCCACGGACGGTCACTGATGTGAGGCCTTATAAGTTCGAAGCTGGTCACACCTCTCAGGATTTGAGTGAGCCAATGAGGAATGGTACCTTTGGGGGCAAATTTTACGATCCTTTGTCTCTAGCACGGTGTTTTGCATATGAAACTCAATTGGGTGTTCAAGAGAAGATTCACAAGACCATATACAAGGAGGTAGTAATCATACACAAAGACCTGGGGATATACATGATAGGAAAGCCAGAGAAAAATTTGTCTATGAATTAATGAAAGAAGTCATTTCCTATAGCAGTATGTGTCTGGTTTAGAGAGAATTGAGTAGGAGGAAGATTCTCTCTACATACTTTTAGGTCTTAACGTTTATCTGATCTGGCTGAGGTGTCCTGGCCGGGAGATCGTTCACAAACATATAGGCACCGAGTCTGGTGTTGGGTGAGGGGTCTGTGATTGTTTGTCAATCTAACGAATAATTGATTTGTTAAATCGAATGAACAATTGTGTGTCTGATTGGTCCAAATGCTACACAAACATATAATGCATTTTAAAAGGTACCTGTTGTGTAATAACATGATAATTTCATCTGACAAATGAGAATCTGCAAGGTGCAGAATTAGAGTCTGATAAGTGTAATTTTATTTTAAGACATACGTGACTTTCAACACAGACCTATATACAAATAATACATACATATAATATATACATATAAATCTAAAACCTTAAAGGGATAGATCACCCAAAAATGAAAATTTTGTCATCATTTACTCTTATGTTGAACATAAAAGAAGGTATTTTGAAGAATGCTGGTAATCAAACAGTTGATGGTCCCCATTAACTTCCATAATATTTCTTTCTCTACTATGGAAGTCAGTGGGGACCAACAACTGTTTGGCTCTTCAAAATATCTTCTTTTGTGTTCAACATAAGAAAGAAACATATACAGGTTTGGAACTACAAACGGGTGAGTAAATGATGACAAAATTTTCATTTTTGGGTGAACTATTCCTTTAAGGTACAGAATATAAATATTCACATATAAATACATACAGCAGGTGACTCAGACATTGTTGAATGCATGTACGCCAGTGGTTTGAAAAGCTGTGTTAATTCTATTTGGGCAAAGAGACTTGCAGTAAATTAGATTAATGTTAAAGTGTCATGTTTCTAGGATTAGAAGATGAATTCAAATGAGTCTCTAGGTGTGTGATGGTGCTCGGCAGGTGGGCAGGGAAGTGTTGAGCTACCTTTCTCTTGAAGGCACTGTTGATTCGGAGCTCTCTGCCATGTCTTTGCGATTTCAATAATCCCGTTTAACAACCCGACAAACACACACAGCGCGGGTCAATAAAATATGACTTTTAATAGTACTTCCTGTTGGACTACTCCACAAATGTGACTCTTATAGTACACTATAACTCTCTCTCTCTGCCAGACATGAGCTATCGGCCATTTTTATCAAGCAGAATGCCACAGACGAGGCAGTGAACGAATGTGAAAGGGACAAGTAGTTATTCAAAAAGTGATTTTCCACTTGAACATGCCGGAGAAGCCTCCTGAGGCCTAAGCGACTGTGGGAAGGGGGGCGTTTAGGCCCAATGAACGGGTGAGGAGGCACTACTGTGAGGTGTGGCGTATGGCCGCTGTGTTTGTCAGGGCTGATGGATGGCTCTAGGCTGTTTCGGGATCATAGATGATTGGAAGATTGAGTTCAGGTGGGACGTAATCGGGTGTTAAATGAGACAAAGAGACATTTTATTGACACTATTGGGCAGTGGAGGAGTGCATACAGTACCTAGCTGGCATGAACAAAAATTGACGTGATTGCACGTACAATATGATGCAAAATGAGTTTTTCATGTGCGATGTTGCATGTTCCATGGGGTTCCGAACCATCTCTGCTGTGCTTATTGACTTTGCACATAAACCTTTTTAATGATGATGCTGTTTAAATTACGCCATTGATTTTAATGCACCAATTACGTCTATAGTGTATGAGAGTCGATATGTAGGACAGCAGTACAAATAGCTGAATATGAGAGGGTTTTAGTCCAGCAATTTTCTATGAGTCTTAAGTGCCTACGATCTGTGAAACACCTCACTTTCCTGAAAAATGTGCAATCAATACTGTGGAGAAAACCTTTTTAGGGCTTGCAGCTACATGCATTTTCTGCTGAATGAAAGAATAATCAAGTTTTTAACGCCTTGTGACTACAGGAAAAGCACGCCGCCGATGCACGCATCGATCTCCGCTTCTGTTTGTTTAGGTGCGGTTTTAACTATCCTTCCTTTAGAGGCACAAATGTGTCGTGTGATACGAGGGGATGGCATTTTTCAAGGTTTTGAGATACGCCATTATTTGACAGTGTTTAATTGGAGAGTACATTTGAGAGACAGCCATCCCCGCCGCTGGCTTTGCTTCTAATTGCCAGCAGCACCGCGCTTAACGAAGCGAGTGAGAAGGAGCATGGGTGAGGGAGGAACAGAAAGAGAGAGGGGCCAGGTTTCTATGGCAACAGCACATCAACAGTAGGCAGTAGCCGAGGGGGTAGTTTCATCTTGAAGAAAGACCCTCTCTGCTGAGGCTCCCTCCGCAACAAGAAACAAATGCCCCAGCCGCATGCAAAAAAAAAAAAGAAACACCAGTGAAACAGAAAGCTCAGCCTGCAGAGTGCTAGGCGAAGCGAAAACCTATCCATTAGAAGGAGATTAATGAAAAAAACTCAGTGGGTCCTCCCATCGCAGCCTCGGTTAAATAAGCCGCTACGAGCATCCCTGTCTGCGAAATGTGCTTCTATGTGGTCCAGAAACCACTATCATCCTGATCTCAATTATTATTCATGCGGCTTCACTCGTTTCATCCGCCATCCTCGGGAACGCGTACGCTGTAGGTGATGTCAACAAGAAACTGAAGAGCACCAGCAGAAAGGAAGGCTATCTGATTCATTAATCCTGACTGTTGAGTATCAGGTATTAAACGCTAATCCTTTGCCTTTTTGGGGAGTTGTAGTTCCCCTGACGACCATTAGAGGGCGGTTTGGCCTTCTAAACTATTCTATTCATGCACTTGACAGCCTAATGTGCATTTCTCACATTCGTCTGTTTACTCACATACTTGCTCCAAGTATTTACCTCACTTTCCATCTTGTACGTTTGATATTCTTTTTAACTTGTTTATGGCTCTCGCTTTTCACAGCGTTTGTTCGCTGGCTCACATCTATTTATTTTTATCTGTGAAAGCTATCATTTCAGAGGTGCGCAAATTACGTTGTGGCATATCTATAAAGACAGCGCACCAAATGAAAGCCGGATTGATTTATTGTCTTTCATCTCAGCGTTATCATCTTTATGGCTTCGTCTTTATTGTGCTGTCGAGTACTGGGAGGTCTTGGGTGTAACGGTTTAACTCCTTGTAGGGAAGAGAATTAGGTTTCCGAGACTGAGAAAATTCGGTGTCTTGTGTTTTTTGATCATTAATATTGATGGACAGCTTTTGTGAAGTGAGAGCTTCACATTACTAGATCTCACATTCGCTATTCTGTTCTATTAAGTTCCTGTCAGTCCGGCGAAACCGTAACCTTTTCCTCTTTCTCTGTTTACACAGGCAAAGAGACCCAGAATGGGAGAGAGAGAGAGAAAAAAAGAGTCTTATATCTTTGTCAGATCAATTTGCTTTATTAATGAAAAAGCTTTATGGAGAGATCACAGTCCCTAGATTCATTCTTAAACAATGACTCACCAAGCAAATGTATTTCTTTTTTTTTTTTTTCCTTCACTCATTTTATTACAAACTTTGCAAGGACTTATTACAAGGGGTTTGTTTTCAACATGCGGAAACGGAACAAAACAAAACACATGGGAATCAAACAAACAAGTCGGCTCGGACAATCCACTGTTCACAATAAACATAAAATCTGATAAAGCCCTCGGTGACAGGAGCCAGTGAATGACTACGGTGCAGGCATACGACAGCCACATTCACACTGACTCGGCAAAAAAGATCAATCCATCCAAGGCAAGATGTGCACATCTCAATAAACACTTTACGATTTTTATATGCCATCGGCTTTTGTTGTAAGATTTAAAAAGCTTCACTTGCATGTACATAAAACTGTACAAAAACAGATCATCACAAGCATTTTTAGTCCTATATAAATATAACCAACAATTAAGGATAACAAGTTTTGAACTCTCCTGCAAAAGACATACTTTCAAGGCAGCTGTCTTCAGTTTGGGGTGAACGGTGAAGATGAGTTTTGTGCAGTGAACGTCGCTTTAGTTCTCAAGAAAAGGTTTCTGAACCGGCACTAACATTTCAGCAAGAACAGTAAACGGTTTCTACCAATTATCTTTGGAATTCATGCTCAACTCGTCGCCTGTTTGACACCACACACGGGGAATGTGGAGAGCTATGTACAGCACACTTTTTAAGAGATGTTTACCACAAACACCAGTTTTCGTTAGTCTATGAAGAAAAGTCTCGCTCTAAGGACGAAGAAAAGACTCCCTCGTTCGTTACGGTCGTCTCATCACATCCAGACATCTAACAGTGAAAGAGCACACATCTAAACACCAGTTTAAAAAACAACCACGAGAAGTGTACACTCCTCCATCCATCCTCCGGCATCCGAAGGACTCTAGGAGTCTAGCCTTAGAATTACTAGGAATAAAACAGCCGAGATGAAGCCAGAGGAGTCAAAACCTGCAATTCAGACTATCTGACTCAGGCCGGCATCAGAGTGGAGGAAGGTCAGAACCTGCTTCACTCAGAGTTTGAATAGATGAAAGCCTTTAAGTGGTGGTAGAGTTTTGTGGTCATCTCTATCTTTTAGCCGTGTTAAGTCCAGGTCAGCGATCTCACATGTTCGCCTGGGAAGAGCGCGGCTGCAGCACGAAGGAGGAAAAGCGAGCTGGGCTAATTACGCTGGATCATGACTCTCGCTGGATTTTTTTTTTCCCTATCAGAGTCACTAAATGGCTTTGAAAACAGCATAATGTGCTTTCTTTCCTTAGGGCGGGATAATCATTCGCCTTATTTAATCATGGCTACGTCCAGTAATTTCCATACGTTTCAGCCTTAATTATTCGGCGAGAGGTGCTGAAGGCAGTCGCGATGAGGTAAGTGCAGTGAAAAATGCGACTCGCTAAACAATTGAAGCGTTTGGACCGGGATCTTTTTCTGTGATCTGTGCTTCCTTTGGGGGCTGGAGTGTTCGCATATGCCAACTGCACCACACTCATTACTCACCCTAATTAAGGAAATGCCCATCGTCAACCCCCTGCAGACAAAGCACGCTCGCCCAAGCGCCGGGATCTGGGCAGGTACTGTGCTGCAGTAGGTGCGGAAAAAGTAGAGATATTGAGGCGATGCAATAGTAATGATAATGTCCATCAGATATATGGTCCTTGAGCACACTAGATAGTCATTGTCAAAATGGTCCCCCAGAGATTCTCTGAATCTTGGAGGGAGACACAGCTTTAGAGCAGGTTAGATAGTCAGCACAGTGTCAAAGAAAAAAACTAACCCGAAGAAATACCCAATTGATGGAGGACAGAACATTTATGTAAAAAAAATGTGGCTGAAAATAGGCAAATGGCGAATGGTGATGTGATCATTTGTAACATTTGTCATTTTTCGATTGTGGAAAAAAAACATGCACAATTGACATGCGAAAGACAAGACAGGATTATCAGTCTAATTTGTCCATTGTGATTGTTATATACAACTGTTTTAAGGCATTAATACATTTGTTCTTCAAACAAAGTCTAAATAGGACACAAAGATTTCATTTCAAACTGTAAAAACTATGTAAACAAAGAAAACAGGACCGTGAATATGAGTGTGGTGGCGAAAATGGACCCATTTGATGGAGACTAGGTGTGTTTGTGGACTTAACAAAACTCTACTGATAATTTGAGGGGAGGCAGGTGGTCTCCTCCTCACTGAGGCTGTGCTGTGTGAGCCGTAGGCGTCTTTGCGAGTGCCAGGCAGCGTTTGCACTACATCGTGGGAGTTCAGGAGAGATTCACAGTGCCAAAAAACACAAGTTCTGCCACATGACACAAAAGTATGCACGCACATTCTCATCTGTTGAATAGCGTGTTAATGTGCCAGAAGCCACATGTTACTTTTCGTGACAATAGGTCCCCAGACGCACGAATGCACACACCGGCATATGTTAAGGTCTGTCATAGTGAGTTAATCACTGTTAAACCCACTGCCCACCCTCACCGAACACACAACTATACACCGTGCTGCAGCGTGCATATGGACATACAGTACAGCAGGTGAGGATCTGGGTCCTAGACGGGCACAACGAGGGTCATGGAGCACCATCAGGACATTTTTCCCTCCACTCCAGCTCATCTTTTCACGTTCCCATATGCCCATTACAAACGTTCAGACCCTTGAAAGCAGTGGTACCGACACACACTTCAGGTGTTCAGGCTGATTTAGATGTAACATTTGTCACTATTTTTCAACTTGAGCCTGATAGTAATATTCATATATACACCATAAAAATTTATTTACAGCGTTTTACATGTATAAAGACTGCTCTCCTCTGAGGACAGGATCAAGTTAAGAGTGTTAGACACTCTGGATGTGGCTCAAGACCCTTTTACAGCAGTATTTCCTGTCCACTTCAGCACTTGGTAATCTAGTAGAAGAACCCATGAACATTCTGTAGGCTAGCGAAGCTAAAAGTTTGTTAGTCACATAAAAGTATGCGTCGGTTGTTTTTGATGGTATGCAAAAACAGTACAAACAGTTGAAAGGAACAGTAAAACATGTTAAAAGTGATAATAAATAGATGCATGAATGCATGAATAAATAAATAAATAAAATCAATCTACTCTGACATTATGACAATAGCGTGTTTTTCCACTATCCAATTGATATCCTGTCGCAAATTCGATGTTCTCTTTTCGTAACCCTGTCTCTGTAATTTCTCAAATTACAATTTCTATCAAAGATGGTGGGTGTGGTTATCTCACAGGTATATCTCTCTTTTCGAGGCGTGATTGGAGGGGGGGCTGGTAGGCGGGAACTCTGATGTCACGCTCAGAGGCACCTCCTCCAGTGGGGCGTGGTCACTGGGGGTGTGGTCACTGCTGGAGTAGGCACTATGGGAAGGTGGGAAGCGTGGCCTGTTCTCCTCTCCTCCCAGCCTCACACTCCCGTTGGCCAGGCGTCCCAGGCTCCCCCTCTCTTGATAAGGCACAAACGTGGACAGTTTAGGGGGGTTGTGGGTCTTGCGGACGGGCGAAGGCTGACCGGGCATCCAACAGGAATCTGAGTGACCCAGCTCGCTGCACTCCTGACTGCAGTTTCCCGTCATGGCAACATCAGGCAGTGAGCGAATATCTGTGAGAGGAAGGCACACAAAAAAGCAGTCTTTAATGATGAGTAAATGATATTAAAGAACAGCAAATCAAAACTTGTTTTGATACGCTCGAGTTCATTTCTACCGGGTGAGTCACAGAGACAATGCAGTTCACCTAGCGTCAAATGCAAGCAACTAACAGGGAATACACAAAGACCTGCCAGTGGTTGCTATGCAATGTGGTGTGGTTGCTATGTGAGAGGCAGTTGTTGCTATGCACAGTGCTGTTGTTATGCACTGCATACTGGGATTTCTTCAGTGGCTACTGTGGGTCAGATTCTTCTGGTTTGATTCCTTCAAGTCATTTGAATTGAAATGGTTTCAAATGCCGACTGACGTTTGCTAGGTGCATTCGAATGTCTGCATGCCCACATACATACTGGAAGTTTGGTGGCAAAAGGGCGAAAGTGCAATTCACTTTTCACTGCATTTATGTCACTTGGGCTGCAATCCCTCAATATAAATGTCTTTATTAGTTATGTACCTATACACATACAGGCACGCTAACATTCAGTATCCTACATTCAACATTAAATGAGACCCACCAAGGCCCCTGAAGGAAAATTCAGCACTAAGGCTTATTGATTGGCAGGTCTGAAATTAGTGAGCCTCTGATTGCTATCCATTTTCCATTCCACTGTTCCCTAATTAATTAAATAGGGCCGAGACCCAGTGACCTCATTCCGACAGAGCCACACAGAGAGCTACATTAACACACACTTCCTGTAATCCGCCAACCACATGCACTTTTTCTCAGGATCTGTTCCACTCTGTGGACCACGTTCCTCACCCTTGGGCATTCACACCAAAGGTTTTCAACCTCTCAGTCACGAACCCACCTTGGGTTGCTGGATATGGGGATGGGGTCGTAGTCTTTTTATCATCATACATTTTTTAGCAGAATTTTTATAGTTTATCATAAAAAATCTATAAAAAGCGTAAAATACCAAAATAACTTAATTCTATGACATCGCTAAGAATTTCAAGTAGTGTTGGGAATTGAGGACCAAATGGAGGCATGTGCATATGCTATGTTATTTATGGTGTAATACGATGCTGTTGTGATCAGTGCGCCAAGAGTGTGCGCATCAATAATAACGGACAATCGCATGGCTAATGTATGACTCCTGTTAAGTCAGTATAATCGTCTTCACCTTGATTTCAAAAGTCATCCATCAAAAATGTACTAGTGTGACACTGGTTTGCTTTATCCAACTGAGAGATAGTTTGCGTATCATATGCTCATACAGCGGTTGGGTGTTTTGAGCCGCTGTTCAGTGCATATTTCACAGCAAGAAAAGGCTTGGGCTGCTCTGAAACAATCACAGAATATGGGAGAGGTTGTGGTTTGAAGCCATATACATGCTAAAATTAATAATTTACTGAAACCTGGATGCGAGTCTATTCTTTCCTCTGTTTCATATGTTATTGGCCGGGTTTTCACAGCAGTTGCGATTGTTTTGAACTGACTGCTTAAATGCATTTGCTTATGCATTTATGGACTTTAAGTTTTCTATAAGTTTGCTGGTTTAAATTGATCTGTTTGCAAACTTCTTTTCGTTTTTAATGTATATTTTTATATAGTATTATTTATTCTGTAATGTATTGATTGAAAGGGTTAAACATGAATGAATTAATTTATTAGATTTTTTTTTCTTACCACTCTGCAAGCCTCCTTTGACAGGCTCATCCCACACTTTGAAAACCCCTTAACGGGGTCATATATTGCTAAAAAGAACATTATTTTGTGTATTTGGTGTAATGAAATGTGTTTATGCGGTTTAAGGTTAAAAAAACATTATTTTCCACATACTGTACATTATTGTTTCTCCTCTATGCCCTGCCTTTCTGTTAGGTAGGCATGGTTGACTCTTAACATTTATAAAGAATATCTCTTTGGATTTGAGACTTTAGTCTTTGCAACTTTACAGATCTTCTTTATGCACCAAGAGCTTGTAACACTCCAAAGAAAAAGGAAAAATTGAAATCGCATCATATGACCCCTTTAAGACCGAGAAAAGACTTGGGCTGCTCTGAAACAATCACAGAATACGGGAGAGGTTGTGGTTTGAAGCCATATACATGCTAAAATTAATAATTAACTAAAACCTGGAAGCAAGTGTATTCTTTCTGCTGTTTCATATGTTTTTCATATTTTATCAATTCTCATTTTCTACAGAAATTTCTAACATTTTAAAAAACATTAAATAATAGATAGAATTAGCACAGAATCTTGTTCATCACACATTGTTGCCCATGGGCATAGTGAAACACCAATGCTTAGCAAAGTGCTGTGAATAAAATAAAAGTTATTGGAATAAACCCAAATGTACCATTTTCCCCAATGCGCCTTCAGGATGTAAGGTCTAGTTCCAAAGATGATGAAGATGTTTATAAAAACGTATAAAACAACACCTTATTAAAGGAAAACATAAGGCAATCCAGTAAGCCAACTGCAAAACAGTGTGCATAGCACAAATAATACCGGACAAAAGAGGGGTGAACACAGAGGAACTTAAATACACAGTGATAAGGAACTAAAGGGTGAACAGGCATGCTGATTAATAAATGTTCATGGTGACTGATGAGTGGCAGGAAACTAGAAGCAGGAAGGTGATATGAAACAAACTAAAAGTCCATAAACTAAAAAGTGATAATGAAACTAAAAGAACATAATGGTGACACAGGTCAATTAATTCATTGCATTAATCACCTCTAAAAAATGAAAACTCATTCAAGTCTGTATATCATTGAAATTAGCTCATCATTTGGCAATGAAATAGTTTTTCTTCAGATATACAGTATATCGTCTATGGAACCAGAATACTTAAAGGGATAGTTTAATATACGTCATCCGCTGGACGCCACTCTCTCGTGAACGCGCGTACGACAGTTAGCGGAAGTTAGAGATTAAGGTTTATAAAGTTGTAAATATGGATATTTTTCTTACACAAACACATCGCTTCGCTTCGGGAGGCCTTTATTAATCCCCCGGAGCCGTGTGGACTTCTTTTATAATGGATTGGAGCTTCGCTTCGGGAGGCCTTTATTAATCCCCCGGAGCCGTGTGGACTTCTTTTATAATGGATTGGTTCAATTTTTTGGACTTCAAATTTTGGGCTACCATCCACTCCCATTATAAAGCTTGGAAGAGCCAGTATGTTTTTTAATAACTCCGATTGTATTCTTCTGAAAGAAGAATGTCACATACACCTAGAATGGCATGAAGGTGAGTAAATCATGGGGTAATTTTCATTTTTGGGTTAACTAACCCTTTAAGAGCAATTGTAATCACTAAATTATTTATGGTTCCCATCTCTAGTCGCAAGTATTTTTTATCCTAAGGAATGTGTTGCAGACCACAAAACATTAAGAACCTCTGATCTGCACTCTGCCTGCCATGTTACCTTTCTCTCCACTTTCGATTCTCACCACAGTTCCAAACTACTTCATCTTCCAGAGACAGAGAAAATGAAGAGAAAAGTAGTGAAGACCCTTAAATGTGCAAGAGATCTACAGATGGCAGCCCTGAGGCAGACACTGGGGCCCAGGGGACATACCTCCACTGGCCTTGAACATCCATGCAGCTTTAATGCACTCATTAAAAAGAGCTCTGTGAGGCTCCACCAGCACAACATAACTGACAGTTCTCTCCACACGAAAACATCACACTGACCCCACCACCGCACAAACATACGTATGCTTCAAAAAACTCCCAATAAGCAGGGGCCGACATGGTCAATACATCAAAAGAGGTCTGGAATAGTGTAAAAGAGGGCGTTTACTGGAGGAGGAAAGAGGCTTTATATCTCACCAAGCGGAATAGATCAACTTGCCCCTCTGGAACAAACACATTAGAGTCCTACAGTCCTGTTTGTGTGTGTGTGTGTGTGTGTGTGTGTGTGTGTGAGAGAGAGGGCTAGAATGTGTGGGAGAAAAAGTGTGTGGTGAACTTGGAATATAATTGAGTGTGTGCGTTAGAGGCGCAACCTGTGTGTGTGTGTGTGTGTGTGTGTGAGGGATAGTGTGTGCGTAGGAGAAGGAGCATGTTTGTTAGATGACGCTACTGTCTATGTGTTTGCGAAGTAATAGTGTGAACACATGTGTTTGTGCAAGAAAGATGTGTGCTACAGATGGTGTTTGAAAGGTGAGGTGTTGGGAGTGTAAAAAGTATGTTTGTAAATGTATCTAATTATGCATGATTGATAAGTACACAATATTTAAATTCTCATAGTATTTCATGAAAGCAGCATAAAAATCCAAAATGGCTGACGAAGCCAAAGCTATGTACATGTAGGCAGGGACAAATAACCATTATTATTACAATCTAATATTTCATGATCTAATCATAATCAAATATATAAAAGTCCAGTCCCTCTTGGTTCCATTTGGAAAATGTTATATTAAAGAAGTAGTGTTTATAATACAGTTAGTGTAATTCTGATTAGGTGTGCCACGTTTGAAGTAATTTTAAAATGCTCCTATGCAACCAACAGTTCAGGTAATTATTAGTATGCTACATTGTGGAAAAGTGTATAAAACACCTGAAACCATTTATTCACTATTGGTGTCATATTTAAGTTGCTTACCATACACCTTATCCTTAATGCAACCAGTAAGTGTGTTTAAATGCACTTTGCACGTTTTATTCAGTTGATTCAATTTTTGAAAATATCAACTACACTGTTACACATAGTTAATAAAATAAAGATTACTGGAGCATGTTCTACAAGAAAAAAAAAACGAAACAATTTAATTTGTTCTGTCTCAAAATTTCATGTTTAATTCAACGTGTTACTTGCCATTTCTTTTGTAAATATTTTCTTAGTGAAAATAGTTTCGAAGCACTGAATTCGGTTTTTGTGAAGTCCAACATACACAGACCCAGATAATGCGATTGTAGCTCGGCTTTGTCCAGCATACACATTAATTGGCTGTAAAAGACTGTAGCTTGATTATAACTGCCCTTCAAAGCTTCGAG